GTGATCATCATACAGTCAAGCTCTGGGTGCAGGCTATACATCGGCAACTCCATCATGCCGGTGTAGAGGCCACAGTCAACGAGTGCCGGCAGCAGTATTGGGTACTGAGACTGCGCCCTATCGTACGCACAATACTACGAAGATACCTATTCTGCAGAATGAAGACGCAAGTACCGGCGCATCCGAGAACCAGGGACCTGCCAACATGTCGCTTAGCTCACCACAAGCGCCCCTTCACCTACACCGGGGTGGACTATTTCGGACCCCTTTCGGTGACCGTCGGACGAACTCGACAAAAGAGATATGTGGCCATTTTTACATGTCTCACTACGCGAGCCATACATCTGGAAGTCGCCGGCTCACTCAGCGCTGACTCCGCGGTAATGGCCATAAGGCGAATAAACGCGCGGCGAGGCTGCCCGACAGAAATATGGTCAGACAACGGCACCAACCTGAAGGCAGCCGATAAGGAACAACGACAGGCGGTCGACGCAGCGACCGCAGAAGAAGCAGCGAAGAGGACTATCTCCTGGCGCTACATCCCGCCTGGAGCTCCATTTATGGGCGGAGCCTGGGAGCGAATGGTTCGCTCCGTCAAGACCGCTCTCATCGCGACGTTGCACGAACGTCATCCGACAGAGGAAGTCCTCACGACACTACTAGTAGAAGTAGAATACACAGTCAACAGCCGCCCGCTGACTCACGTCTCAGTCAGTCCAGAGGATCCCGAAGCTCTCACTCCTAACCACTTCTTGTTGGGAGGACCGGGACGAGTACCACAGCCAGGCACTTTCACCGAACGAGACGCCCTCTTACGGTCAAGTTGGCGAGCTGCGCAGAGGCTAGCCGACATCTTCTGGCTACGCTGGGTGAAGGAGTACCTCCCTGAGCTCCAACACCGGCGGGAGCCCCACGGACGAGGCCAAGCAGCACGCGTCGACGACCTCGTACAGATCGTCGATCCCAACCTACCCCGCAACGTGTGGATACGAGGAAGAGTCATCGCTACATATCCGGGTCCTGACAACATCGTGCGGACAGTGGACGTGCTGACCAAGGGAGGTGTCCTATGCCGGCCAATAAGGAAGCTTGTGATCATGCCTCTATCTACCGCCCGCACCGAAAGTTGATGCGACGCGGTCGCACGGCGGGAGTGATGTGCGGGACAAGTGAAAACAAATAGAATAATACATAAATAAGACAAACATTTTTATATTAATGGAATGAATATTATAGTTTAAGAGATTGTACTTAAATAGGATATAAGCGTTTTTGTTGTGTTAATAAAGATTATAGTTTAGAGTTATACATAAAAAAAGGATATAAGCATTTAATGTTAAGAAAATAATAGTGTAGAGCTTCATCATCATCATCATTACAGCCCTTCACAAGTCCACTGCTGAACATAGGCCTCCCCCAAGTAATGCCACAAAGCACGGTCCTGAGCCACCTGCATCCATCGACTTCCTGCATGTCTTACCAGGTCGTCACTCCATCTAGTGGGGGGTCGCCCTACACTACGCCTACCGGTACGAGGCTGCCACTCGAGAACCTTTCTTCCCCATCGGTTATCGGTTCTTCGAGCTATATGGCCGGCCCATTGCCACTTCAGCTTATTAATCCGTTGGGCTATGTCGGTCACTCTGGTTTTACTGCGGATATCCTCATTTCTGAGTCTATCACGCAGAGAAACTCCGAGCATAGCCCTCTCCATAGCTCGCTGAGCGACCTTAAGCGTCCTCATACGGCCAGCAGTGAAGGACCACGTCTCAGATCCGTAAGTCATCACTGGCAACACGCACTGGTTGTACAATCTAGTTTTTAGAGATTGAGGTATACCTGACGAAAAGATATGCCGTAATTTCCCGAACGCTGCCCAGCCGAGTTGAATCCGTCGATTGACCTCTCGGTCGAAGTTGGACTTACCTAGTCGGACTATTTGTCCCAGGTAAACGTATTCGTCAACAACTTCGAGCATAGTGCTCCCAACAACTACCGGCATAGGTGTGACATGGACATTGAACATGATCTTTGTTTTGTCCATGTTCATCTTAAGACCTATCCGTTGGGAGGCACCATTGAGGTCATTGAGCATAGTGCTTAAGTCCTCCAGCGATTCTGCCATAAGGACTATATCGTCGGCAAATCGAAGGTGAGTGATGTACTCGCCATTGATGTCAATACCGTATCCTTTCCAGTCCAGTAGCTTGAAAACGTCTTCCAATGCAGCGGTGAAGAGTTTCGGGGATATAACGTCACCCTGTCTTACACCTCTCTGCAGTTGGATAGGTTTCGAGCTCTGGTTCTGTACTCGGATAGCCATCGTAGCCCTACTGTACAAACACTTCAGCACTTCGATATACCGACAGTCAACTTGGGACCGCTGAAGGGACTGTAGCACCGCCCAAATTTCGACGGAATCAAAGGCTTTCTCATAGTCCACATACGCCAGGCAAAGTGGCAGATTGTACTCTTCAGTCTTCTGTACAATCTGCCGCAGGGTATGTATGTGGTCTATGGTACTGAAGCCTTTTCGGAAACCGGCTTGTTCGGGAGGCTGGAAGTCGTCAAGTCTGCGTGCGAGACGATTCGTAATGACTCTCGAAAACAGCACGTAGACGCGGCTCAGAAGGGAAATCGGTCTGTAGTTCTTTAAGAGAGCGTTGTCGCCTTTCTTAAAGAACAAGACCACCGCACTTCTGCTCCACGCCTCTGGAGTAGTGCCACCATGGAGGACGGAATCTGAAGGACTTCAAGTACCGGTGTTCCACCCGCTTTCAGAAGCTCCGCTGTAATTCCATCCTCGCCTGGGGCCCTGCCGTTTTTAAGGCGCTGGAGAGCCATTCTAATCTCGCTTAGACTGACGTCCGGGATATCATCGGAATAGTGTCGGATAAGACTTGCTCTTGGATCATTACTCACACTTGCGTGTGGCTCCAACGATGATGTGTACAGCTGCCCATAGAACCTCTCAATCTCACTGAAAATCTCAGGTGTCCCGGAAACGATGTTGATGTAGAGCTTATATTTGTATAATAGAATTAGTTGGTCACTTTGTATAATAGAACTAACTTAAGGTAAACAATGTAACGTGACTCAGCATCGTCACTTGCTCTGTCGCGCCTCGCGCTGATTGGTCGACGCCGTTGTACGGTACGTACACCGTATCAATTGACCCAGCCGAGGTAGTATAAAAGAGGGGCGATTTTCGTCGTTCGACACAGTCGGCGGCCAGCTCCCTCAAGGAAAACATCGAATATAGAAGAAAGAAAAAAGTCTCAGTGGTTTTATTCTCCACCAACCCAGCACACAATTGTGCCTGTAGGGCATAAAATTGCACTTAATAATAATTGAGATCAAGAAAATTACCGTATTAGATTTTTTAACTTATTCTTAAAGGATTCTATCAAAATAAGAAGAAACGTAATAATTAGGAATGAGATTTTGATCAATCAACGATTTGATGTCGTTTTTCTTTCTTTCAGCCAAAGGAAGCTTAGCTGCATAAAGAGGTTTCAATAGATTGTTGGCATTAGGAACTTCGTACCTACTACCTGCCTGTTGCCTACGAGCGAGTAGCTACCCTATTAGCTTCTAGTCTAATCTCTTTAAAGTTCTGTTCTAAGTAAGATTTCTTATAAAATATTTTGACTGTAGCAGATTCATTTAAATCTTCCTCCTCTCCCGCATTCTTGAAAAAAATATTCTCACATAAACATTTAATATCGTAAAAATCACTATGGCTCATCAGATTAACATTGTATGCATTTCTTTTTTTTTTCGTGCGTTCTTTATTGCTGCAATGTACTGGTCAAGAACATAAATAGGGCCAGATCTTAACATTTTTTTTACTTCTCTCTCAATTGTTGAGTGCACTGCATCACCCTCATTTTGTGTGTGAGATTTGATTAAGAATTTATGGGTTATAGATTTTATTGGCAAAGTTTTTACTGCATGCAAATAAAGAGATAACATGAATTGGTTTTTTTGTTGCCCAAAACAATTATCAGAATAGAAAATAAAATCGAAATCTGGATGTAATAAGGACATTTTTTCTAAATATTTAAACACACACGTCCCAATTTCATTAACACCTCTTTGACCTTCTACTTCTGTCCAAAAAAAAAAAAACATTCAGTGTGATCTTTTCCCAGTTCAGAAATAGTGAAATTTAAACAATTCAATTTACTTTTATAGTAAAAGATTGATATTTCTCCTTTAGGCAAGGTCATAACTGCCTGCAAGTCATAACAAGACACAATGCAATTACTCATTTTCTTATCATTTTTTTCTCTCTTTTCTACTTTCATCCTTTTCTTTTAAATGATATTGTTATTTATCTTCCAAATTTTCTTTTTACATCGGCAATCCTGTAAGCTGTGCAAAGATCACACTGATCTTTTTTTGGTATAAAAAAACTGATGTTAAACTCAGTATTAAAAACTTTTCTATAAATATGTATTTTTACAAATCCGATATTTTTTTTTCAATGCAATCAGCTTTATAATCTTTGTATAAATCAGCAAGCGTCTTTCCTCCGTCGATAAATTCTCTCGAAGTTTGTTTTTATAGATAGTGACTTTCTATACGAGGTATACTATTGATGTGACGTCACACTTCAATTAAATTATCTTCAGGAATGGTTTTTTTAATACTGCATTTGCCCCTTTGTTCAGAGTCCAGTATACCTTGCTCGTTCTTCTTGTCTATCACTGTTCTAATAGGTCGATCACCAATTCCAAGAGTATTTTTAAAAAATATTTTACACACTCTGTTTTTTTTTTACCATTTATCTCGAAATGGAATGCATTCTTTGGTTTTCTGCTGCTATTAAGTCTTTTGTACTAAAGGAAATACGTTAACTAAATTATTAGCTATATAATCTCTTTGACGTGTTAGTGAGCCCAAATTCCAAAACGAGTCAAATAATCTTTTGCGGTCATCTTCTGCAATAATATCACGACATTTAAGCCGACACTTTTCATTACAGGGTCCTCTCATCACCCTTTCTGCAACAATTTTTGATGATGTAGATACGTATGATTGTCCTCGATTTCTTCGAGTCTGAGCTGTCTTTTTTTTATTAATTCGTCTGATTTTTTTCGACTATTCCTATTGCCTTCTCCTACAACAGGGTTCAATATGTTAACACTGGCTAGCCCAGGAACTGACGTTAGATTATTAGATTCTAAGGAATGGGTGACAGTAATTTTCCCATCTTCATTGCAGTCATTTCTGATAGTAGTAGGTTGGATTATAGAGATTTTGTCTAGAGCGGCAGAAGCTAATGACGCCAACGATGGACACTGGTGATTTCTCGTCGAAGAACATTCAGAAGAAGAACTCGACGAAGACGAAGAACTTGACGAGGAAGAGGAACTAGACGAAGAATTGCTCGATGATGAATCTGAAGAAGAAGAAGAGTCTGATCGTCGACGGTTTGCAGTGGATGGTTTTAGTGGTAAGTAACTTGGGTCATCGTCTGAAGCAGGTGAAAAATCACGTGGAGATGCACGACTGGAGGTAGATGACCTGGAATTTCTTCTTTCTGCATGAAGTTGTTCATTTAGATGCAAGTTTTCATCCACATGAAGGAGTTCCTCCTAAAATAAGTAATTATTTTAAATAACACAATAAGTAAAAGAAATGCATCTCATAACTCATGCATCTCATGATGTTCTTAGCTGGGTGACTAGGAGAAGAACAAGGAAAAGACAATAAGCTTTTTTAGTTATTAACCGCTTATTGTTTCAAATAGTGGTAAGGTAAGTAGTGTATTCTGAATAGTATTCTTAGTTTGATATTATAAGGTAAGAATCTCCTAATGTTTTAGGTAAGGTAATAAGAAACCTGTTCAGCTTTCTGGTGATCTTTAGGTGTGATTTTTTGGGAAGGCACAATATTAAATCCAAGATTGTGGTTAGAAATATCTTCATTTGCATTTTGGTTAATGTCTTCTTCATTGCGAGTTAATTCACAATGATTTTTGGAGGTCTGGTGTGTCGTTGGTGTATTTGCGCTTTCTAAATGAACAGGTTCATTCTGGATACCATGACACGTTCTTTTTTGAATTCTTCTTTATCATCTTGTGTGTCCTCAAGCAGTCTTCTAGAAATATTCTTGAGTTTGTTTATTCTCGCATTTTGTAAAGGCATTTTAAGTCTGAAAACAAGCAAATTATAGTCAAAATTACTAAAAGGAAGATCATTTAATTGATTGACTTTAGAAGCGTTAAATTATATGAATAACCAAAACCAATATTAAAATATCCCAATTAATAATGACTCTAAACAAAATTCTTTGTTGGTTTCAGTGTTATTTTCCGTGCTTGCTATTTGGCTTAAAAGGAAGAATGACACAAAAAAATGACATCCTGAATTAATCATCAACTCAAATGTTTCAAATTCTGTAACGCGAAGTGACACTAAATAAAAAACGTCAGTATGTTGTTCCAATTGAATACAAACCCTCTGTTTGGCTTAAGGGAAAAATGACACTAAACGAATAATGACATCCTGAATAATAATCGACTAAAAAATAATAAAAAAAAATATAAATAATCGACTAAAATACTTTAAATAACTTAACACGAAGAGCGACACTAAATAAAAAATGTCAGTATGTTGTTCCAATTAAATACAAACTCTCTGTTTGGCTTAAGGGAAGAATGACACAAAACGAATAATAACATCCTGAATTAATAATCGACACAAATAGTTCAAATTCCGTAACACGAAAATCGACACTAAAATAAAAGTGACAGTATGTCGTCCCAACATAGCAATTTTTACAAAATAATATAGCGTAATACACGACACTTATCAAAATGTGACGGTATTCGTATTAAAGTTAATTCGTACTAACGAAATATGGTCAATCCAAATCGCCTTTAACCAGAGAATGTCACTATGGAATACACTAGATGAAACCGTTTTTGTTAACTTCACAGTCACGAATGAAAAAATGGCGGTCTGTGATAACAGATCGTATCGACCATAGACAAACACTATATACCAGGAATAGATGCGCCACTCACATTTCAGTTTTCGATTGAGTGTACCGTGTATGCATAGAGTAGAGTAATATATACAGAAATAGAGAGCCATCTCCTAGGATTTTTTGTCACCCAATATGAATAGTGTCGCCGCTTGGTATCATATCTCTTGAACTAATCTCAATATCATGTTGACTATAGATAGCCGTATGTAGTTATTTATATACAGCTATCTATACTATAGGTATATTTATATTTTAAGGGATTAGGGTTCAATTAAAAACGTATTATAGATTTTAGTAATATTAACATTTATTTTTGTTATATATATTTAACATACACGATGTAAAAGGGTCTATTCGGCAAAATACAACACCAACCCAAATTAAATATGTCCACCGGGTTACCGGAATGATAAATGAAAGCGTCCATTTCGAACAACACTACACAAACATACAATGTAATTCCAGCATGAAAATCTAAATGGACAACAAAGAAACAGAGGGCTAATTCCAACTCAACCAAACTTATTGTAGTAACAACCGAAAATCACTTATAAAGTTGCTACTTGCCATTTCCAGAATAATCAGAATTGGTGTAGTCGCCATCTAGCGCACCTTTTAGAATTTAATGTTCGAAAGTTTATGGGGATATAGTACAAGATGGCACTAGTGTCTTTGCAAATTATTGAACCCTGACCTAATGTATGGAAGTGTAACCCCCTGCGTGTACGTTAGATGCCGCTGTATTCTTTTAGTACATCGCGGCTTGCGGTAGTTACCACTAGATGGCGTATTTTGTCAATGACTATATTGATATATATGAAATAAGCAATTTTATTATCAATGTTTATGTATGCATTCTACCGGATAATTATTGGATATCTACAATAATTATCTTAAATCTCCAAATAGTAATTTTGTAGATAACATTAACACTAATATAACTTAGCTTATTTCACAAAAGATTTTTGTAATATTAATATGAAAGACTGAAAGTAATTTTAATTATTTATTTATTTTCTTTTATGTATTTTACAATATTTGAAAGCTTGAGCTTTAACATTATCATTTTCACAATCGGTACTTAATAATTTTCCCTTTAGCAGCCTATTAACATTGGTGCACCAACTGTGAACAACCACATTTATTGTTAAATTTAACAAATAATCATAAAGCCTCTTATTATGATTTTCGCAGGAGAGGAACGAAAAGTTGCAAAATATTTTAGTTTTTTGAATTATCGTATCCTTAATATTCTTTATTTGTGGTTCTTCAAATTTTGGATTATAAGGTAAACTTCATCTGTGAATGAACACAACGCCTCCGATGGATATTTACATGACTTTTTTGTATAGTCCCTTTCTAAAATATAATCATATTGGGTCGGAGGTGTTGTGCTTAACAATTGCATTTTACACACGTTACCAATCTTACATATATTTTTTATACACTTATGCACTAAATATCCAGCAACATAACGTTTAGCTTCCTTAGTAGTTAAATTGATGGGTTCTGAATTCTCATTTTGTCCAAACAAATTTATTAAAGAATCCACATTTATATTTGCATCTGGTTTCTCTCCTGTTTCTATTTTTTGCGAATTAATTAAACATTTTAGTGGCTTTAATATTTTGTTATTGTCACGTTCACAGTTTGCACTAATTGAATGAGGGTTAAATATTGGGTTAAATTATTCACTAACAAAGTTTTATATGCTTCAGTAAATTGGCAGCATGTTGGTGATACATTTCGAATCCCATTGCTCCTGATTCTGGAAAAGAAATTTTCCAGTGGATCCTGGTTCAGGTTTCTCATTAATAAGCTGCTTACACTGTGGTTAGCGTTTAAATAAGAAAACATTTCTTTTACTACATGGATATTACGTATCCAATTTTGAATTGATGGAACCTTTATAAATTTTGTAGCCCCATCTTTATTTACTTCATAACCCATAGAGTTCAGTATAGGTAAAGCTTCATCCCAGAGCTTAAAATGCAGCGAGTTTTTTCTCAATGCTGCTTTGTATAGTTTTGCACTGTCTCGGTAACAATGACCATTGAAAGAGTCAAATAACATATCAACTAGTAGCAGCAGATCAGCAGTTGCGAGACATTCTTTTGGCAATAGATTATGATCTGAAAAAGAAAACATTATTAATTATTAAAAATTTAAAGATTTTTACTATTTCCTATTATAATGTGAAGCTGTAGTGGCAATGAATCAGTCATATAGCTCGAAGAACCGACGACCGATGGGGACGAAAGGTTCTCGAGTGGCAGCCTTGTATTGGTAGGGGAAATGTAGAGCGGCCCCGAACTAGATGGAGTGACGACCTAGTAAGACATACAGGAAGTCGATGTATGCAGATAGCTTAAGACCGTACTTTGTTTTATCATCTGAGAGGTTGGGGAATGCCTATGTTCACCAGTGGACTTGTGAAGGGCTGTAATAACGATGATGATTAATATCCATACTAGTATTATAAATGTGTCTTTCTGCCTGTTACCTTTTCATGGCCATCCAATTGAACGATTTTGGCGAAATTTGGTACAAAGATAGCTTGGGTTCTGTAAACAGATAGAATTTTTTTTGACAGAAAACCAGAGAGCTCTCTGAATTTTAAAAATCTAAATCCACACAGATGGAATCGCTGGCATCATTTAGTACAGAAATAAAAATACAAACTTGCTAAGAAGCGTAAAGCTGCAGATACCCGTTGGCTGAAAACTTGAGCTGCATATTTCACTTTCATTTTAGGAACTTTGTCCTTGTTGACGTGCATCTCCGTTAATTTGTTCACCAAGCGAATGTCATGTTCTCCCACATCAATGTCAAGTAACATTCGTAAATGATTCCATTGTGCAACCTTTGTTTCTCCGTTTTGGGTGTATTTTAAATTTTTGGTCATTAGGTTGTTTCTTAATCCCTTGAGTACATGTGGAGGATCAAAAATTGTAAAGATTTTGCTGTCATCAATTTCAAAAGCCAAACTTTTCCATTCAGTGCCATTACGAAGGTATTTTTCTTTTGTTTCATTAAGAAGATTTTTTTAACTTTCATATTTGTTGGGGATTGGTCACAGATTGTAGACACAATTTTTAAGCCAGTGTTGTTGACTTGTGCTATTACTTCTTTGATTAATTTTTTTAATTCTACACTGTTTGTTGTACTCTGGCAGAATGTAAAGCAAATCGGTTGTTTAAATTTTCCCTTAAGACTTTTCAGCATAAATACTAATGCATGATCAGCAATTTTTGAGGTCCCCCCAAAATCTTCAAAACCAATAATTTCATTCAGGGATTTTTGATAATAAAGTCCTGTCAATGCCACCTCATCAGGCAACTTTTTCACAGTTTTAGCTAATTGTTTCATTATGGTCTCGTTTATGCCTGTAGTTAAAGAGATGCTGCTTAACATTTTTTGCATGGTTCTTTTAGAAGGCAAACCAAAAATCCTTTGCAAGAAGTTATATGTTTTTTTGACTTTGCTTGTATATAGTCAAACATAAAATTTTCTCTTTCATGCTGAATCTCCTACCTCTTGGCATTTTTGATGACTTTTTAAGTTGCATATTTACCAATATTGCAACTGGTTCAGGAAGGTTTTCTACAGCATTTAAAAATGCCTGACTCTGTGAAAATTTTTTTGCCTGACGAACCCTCTCATTCAATGTCTTACATTTACTTTTTAATTTCAAAATTCGAGCTTTTAAAGTTCTCAATTCTTTGGAACATTTTTGTGTTCGAGTGTTAACCCTACAGTGGGCGCGCCTTTTCATGGAACGTAAGTGGGCGCGTGTATAACATTTTGCCGCTCTTAGAAAAGCTAAAATATTACATATTAAATGTTTAAATTTACTATAAATGAGAAAAGGTTAGCCTTAAATAAAGCATAAGCTTTTAGAATAATTATAACTTTTTAATTCAGTCTCATAAATCAGTCTCAAAAAATCAACTTAAAGTTATTCTCAAAAAATGTAACAAAATATGGAACGACTTCACATAATCTCTTATATAATAAACAAAACCGTAAAAAATTAGAGAAAAAAAACTTATTAAGCATCTTGGCCGTATTCCCCGTCAAAACTACCCTCACACAGGTAAACACAGTGCTCGTTGCACAGTAATTTAGCACATACTTTGCACCCTTTTTTTGTTCGTCGATTTTTTCTCGTAGGACATATTGAGCATATTCCCTCTCGCTTTTCATGGGTTTCTTGGTTCTCCATTGGTACAAATCGAGCGATTTGTCTTTTTAGTGAACTCGGGAATGTCATTATGCTAGATCTTTTCATTAAATGTGGCCTGACCAGGGCGAGGGATATCTCTTTTAGGTACATTCTACGCAGTAAGACAGTTTTAGTGTTTGCTGTGTAAATAATTTGACTATTTATCCCGCCAATATTCAAAATTGAAAAGAATAATCTCATTGGCCACCTCCGAGTCATTCTGCCCACAGAGTATTCTTCTTTCATCTGGTCAACAGTATCCACTCCACCCTTAGTACCGTTATAAAACGTGATTACTACGGGCTTCGCATCATCACCGGTTGATTCATCTATCTTATAGTCATCATGCAATGTTGACAAAAGTAGAACGACTTTTTTTGGTTTCTTGTTAGGAACATAGGATACAAGCACTTTTTTTTCATTGAAACCAAACATTGTACTTGGGGTAGCTCTTTCTTTCGTATTGAGGAACTGCAGCGGAATTTCTTTTTTATTTTTTCTCAAAGTACCTACAATAGTTGTACAGTAAGAGTACACAAGTTGATTAGCAAGTGGACTGGATGTGAAATAATTGTCCATTGTAAGGTTTCGGCCTGTGTTCAAAATATTTTTGACCAATCTCATCACCAGAGATGTAGGACTATTGTCAACAGAAAAGCTTCCTTCTGGTTGCTTACCTGCATAAACTTCCAAATTACTGGTATAATAGGACTTTGAATCAACGAGAGCGTTTATTTTTATGCCGTACTTAGCTGGTTTATTTGCCATGTAAACACGAAACTTGCATCGTCCTCTAAATGACTCCAACATCTCATCAATAGTACCATTTTCTCCAATCTCATAATAAGCTAGACAGTTACGTACAAAAGATTCAAAAATATCTCTCATTGCCGCCATGTTATCTAGCTTGACCCGCTCCGTTCTAATATGAATGTCGTCAAAACGAATGTTCCTCATCAAAAAGTAAAACCTCTTGATTGACATGGTTGCTTTGAATATATCAGGGGAAGTACCATCATCGTTCCACATTTCGTGAATATTCACATGATGCATTTTTTTCAAGCCTGCCATCAAAAGAAGACCTATCAAAGCTTCTATTTCTAATATATCAGTTTCTTTAGTATCTCTTTCTCGTAAAAACTTGTGCTGGTTAGCACGTATGCGGATGTTAGTAAAAGAAACTATACCTTCTAGCATTTGTTGAGTAATGAAAAGGCGGAAACAATCTAATGGCGTCTTTGAATTTTTAGCATTTTCTCCACGCACTCCAGGAGGATTCGTAACTATATTTTCAGCTCTTGTTCGTATTGTTGCATGAATAAGTCAACTAGCGCCATTTAGTGTCAGGAACGAGAGCGAGGGGAGCATTGAGAAAATGACATCACAAATCACTCAACCGACAGCGCCTAGTCGAAACTCGAACGCTCGGTACCTTGCGCGTGTTTACTTGAACATTCTGACATTTCTTTGCTAATTTAAATATATAAGCGCTGCAAGATGCGATGGGAGTAGTGTTGATTTGGCGAAACAAGCGAAGCTTCGGAGCGGAATAAAGTGAATTAGTGTGTTTAATTATTAGTGTTTTTAACTTTAATTTGTGTAAAGTAAATTAAAGTGTTAATTTAGGTAATTTTATCGGCAATTTTTATTGTCACGAACCTCAAGCTCGTAACAATTGGTGTCAGAAGTGGGATAAAATCATGCCGATTTTACCTAAGGAGGAAACCGAGGGTGTCCGTACCCGAAGTCAACGCCAGCAGGAGACGGACCAACGAAGATTTGGTGGTGCAACGCCGCAGACGTCGGAGGGCCAGCCACCGGCTGAAGGCCCGTCGGTAGCTCCTACATCTGCAGCACCTGACTTAGGTGCTCTGATGGTGATGCTGCAGGAGCAGGCTCGCCGACAGGAGGAACAGGCTCGCCGACAGGAGGAACAGGCTCGCCGACAGGAGGAACAGGTCCGTCAGTTGAAAGAGCAGCTGCAGGGCGGACAAGAGGAGCAGGCCCGCCGACAGGAGGAACAGGCCCGTCGGTCGGAAGAGCAGATGCTCCTCATTAAGGACCTTCATGCTACCTTTGGGAAAGAGATAAAGGAGGTGAAGGATAAGGTTGCTCAACACGACAACCGCCTGTCGGAAGCTGAAATCCAAATCAAGGAAGCTAAAACAGTTGCACATAAACTAGTTCATGAAGTCTTCTGTCGTTTTGGAGTACCTTTAGAGATTCACAGCGATCAAGGAAGGAATTTTGAGTCTCAAATATTCCAGGAAACTTGCCGAGTTATGGGTACTCATAAAACAAGAACGACTTCTTATCACCCGCAATCTGATGGAATGGTGGAACGATTTAATCAGACATTGGAGAGGTACCTAGCAAAAGTTGTAGACAATCGGCAACGAGATTGGGACAAGCACATACAACCGTTTTTGTTGTCATATCGAAGTTCTGTTCACGAAAGTACAGCAGTGACACCAGCATTCGCAAACTTTGGAAGAGAATTACGGCTGCCTGCGGACCTGATCACCGGGATACCACCTGATGCCCCACGCAGTATAACCGATTATGCAAATGACTTGCGGAACAAAATGAATGACATTTATGAGCACGTCAGACAATCGGGCCAGCAAATGTCTGAGAAAATGAAAACCCGGTACGACCGCAAAATGAACAATAAAGGGTTCAACGAAGGTTCATTAGTGTGGTTGCACAATCCAGTCCGCAGCAAATGGAAATCTCCTAAGCTTCAAGCTAAATGGGACGGCCCGTACCGGATTGTAACCAGGATCAACGATGTGACCTACCGGATACAGAAAGGCGCAAGAGGGACTCCTAAGATCGTCCATGTGGATCCCTTGGCGCGTTATTATGGGACCGATAATGCTCGGGACGAGCATGTCTTAGGAGGGGGCAGTGTTGCATGAATAAGTCAACTAGCGCCATCTAGTGTCAGGAACGAGAGCGAGGGGAGCATTGAGAAAATGACATCACAAATCACTCAACCGACAGCGCCTACTCGAAACTCGAACGCTCGGTACCTTGCGCGTGTTTACTTGAACATTCTGACATTTCTTTGCTAATTTAAATATATAGGCGCTGCAAGATGCGATGGGAGTAGTGTTGATTTGGCGAAACAAGCGAAGCTTCGGAGCGGAATAAAGTGAATTAGTGTGTTTAATTATTAGTGTTTTTAACTTTAATTTGTGTAAAGTAAATTAAAGTGTTAATTTAGGTAATTTTATCGGCAATTTTTATTGTCACGAACCTCAAGCTCGTAACAGTATGAAGGGTCTTGAAGAAGGACTTTTTATCCATTTTGTTCCATCTTTACCTTTGTACACAGGCACTCTTGGAGGACGATTTGTAGTAGGTTCAATGAAATTTATCTCAGTTTGAAATGTTCGAATTGGTCTTACTCGTATGTGAGCCAAAGGTTCATCGCTCGATGAATTTGAAGATGTTGATGAAGATCTAAACGACAAACGTTCACGATGTTGACGTGCACTGCGAGATGGTCTCCGGGAGGTGACAGGAGAACGGCTGCGACTCCTGGGAATCGTTGTCAATTGATTGAAACTAGTCGATGGCCGATGATCGACTAAATTGAGTCGATGGAAACATGTCTCCGATGACATCATTTCATCTCCTGACTGTTCGGTATCACTATCATGTTCCAAATTTTCACTGTCCCGATCGCTTTCAGACATACTTTCGTCGAAACATTGTGCACCGGTCTCTTCTAAATCAGACTCCTCTAACCACGAACAAATTTGCACGTCTTGCTTATTCATTTTGCTGAAATGAAAAGCTGAAAAGATACAAAACAATACCTCAGAATAAAAAAATAACTCTAAATTTCATAAAATTATGCTACACGAGTACATAAATAAACAAAACCATGTAGTACTTACCAAAAAATAAATGTCATTTGGCCAAAAATAAATATGTTACAACGTTAAATTTTAACTACGTCAGTGGGCGCGCACTTAGCAATTTGCCGCGTCGCAGGACTAGTGCACAACAACTTCGTCCTCCTGTGGTTGGCTGCGCACTGATTGTTTCGTAACTACAAGGGGGGGGGTGCGGGAGGAGTGTACACGCAGCTACTGAGACGCATTATTAACATTTTTTTACAAAGTGCGGCAAAATGCTCATAGCGCGCCCACTCTAGGGTTAACTGAAAATAGAAAAAAAATATGTTACAATACTTATAATTTTTTTTGGTACTTATTAAACTGACTTCTATTTAATAGCATTATTCTCCTTTATAAATCTCTACATTGTCCTCTGGAATTGCTGTGGTAGAGCCATGCTGCAGTTATATTTATAATATAGTTGTAGCATGAATGGGTCGGCTCGACCGGAGAAGGACCACTCTCTCACAGAATACTAGCGTAAAATAGCAGCTTAACGCTGCTGTGTTTCATATGGTGAGTGTAGAGAACCGGAGACCCTTTTTACTGGAAACGAGGCATTCCATCTTAGTCCTCACGGGTGACAACGCATCTGCACTTTGATTCATAATCAAGGATAGATGTGGATGTCTATGGACCGCAGCAACCACTTACCATCAAGTGGACTGTGTGCTCGTTTGTCACCCTTATCCTATAAACAAAAAAAAATTGCTAAGTTAGCCATCAACAATGCGTATCTGAAACATACTATCCTTAGCCACCATTCGATGTAAGCTACTATAAATACAACTCAGCATGGTAGTTATTTTTTTGTATCTACATTTGTATATTCAAGCAGTAACTTTTTTTACATGGAGAAATGTAAAAAAATGATGTTCCAACATTCACTACCAGGACTTCTCCCCTTTTTCCTTCTCAGAAAAGCTGCATTAAGAACACAGGGCGCGTCTTCCTCCATGGCTTCTAACTCCCCTAGCGTAACGGACCCCCCACCCTCCCGGGTCCGACACGCAATAATCAATCGTGGTATATACCTAGTTGAAATAAAATATTACTATTTTTGAAATATTTACCTCTAGGAAGTAGTTTTTGTTTCGGATATGGCAACTTGAAAGGCTCTAAGTTGTCTCCTATTTGCATATCAATATCCATTTCAGTCTCAACAGAAGATGAAGTTGAAGCACTATTGGCGAAGTTGAAGCTAAAAAATTAAAACAGTAAATTTGTTTTAAGTTGTACTATCAAATAAGCCCTTTGAATAAATATGACCCTATTATATTTATGTATCAAACTAGCTGTAACCGGTGCGTTGCTGCCACAGAAGAAATAATTGTGAAATAATGTTGTTTTATATGTGGAAGAGTTATATTGTTTAATTAGGAATGATAATATATTCATTGTAGTTGAATGCTATATGTTTAAAATAAGGAAGAACAGTCATCTGTGACCCAGACCCGACAGACATCCAGCGGCAGTAGAGGTCAGAATCAATAATACTTTAATCAGGTGCAGAATTCATTCACAACACGTTACGACAAAATGTTATATCATTTTTGCCATTTTGTATTTTTTTTAGACTAACGCCTGAACAAAAACATAAGGCGTTATTTTGGTGTTAGCCATTGATTTCCAATATAAAAAATATATAATTTAACTATATAAAAAAAACTGAGATGTCTCGTTTCTGTCGGGCCGTTTTTTCTATGGGGTGTGACTGTTCTTCTTTGCCAGTGCAATACACGTGCCACCTACTGTAAATTAATTGCACTATTTGTTCAACCTTCGCACAAGTGCAAGCAATAAGTTGACAAAATTTCAGCACAATTTGATGAACAGTATGGCTGCACATAAAATATGAACAAATAAACATTAATATTTATATATAAGATAACCCTTATTTTGAGAGGTGAGCCATGAGTTGAGATAATGACAATGATCTAATAAGTGTTAGCTAGCTAATGTTTAAACATTATTACAAGAGCTTGCTGAAACCTTAACTAACTTCTACCAACAAAAGAACAATGTGCAATCAATTTAAAACTAATATTGCACAAAAAACTTATAAACTCTACTTCAAAACAAACAAATTAAATAAGCAAAATGGCGGATTGTGTAGCAAAATGGCGGATTGTGTAGCAAAATGGCGGATTGTGTCAGCGCTACTGAAATAGCAATCTTGTCCTGGCCGAAAACTATTTCAGGGCTTGTAAGCGCTTACTAGCGCTTTTTTCTGCCAAACGTACCCAATTTACCATGCAACTAGGTGAAAATAATGATACTAAATTGGTGGAGTACCGTAATCTAGTAACATGACCTTTTCTTAGCGCCTTTTTAATTATGTCGTTTTATAAAGTCATTTATTTAAGGTTTGTAAATACAGATGTCGCTCGCTGACGCTAACCAACTAAGTTGAAAATAGGTTGTAATATACTACGGGTTTGCTAACAAAGTGACTATTTTATTCTTGTATCATTAAACTCCAAAAATTAATTCTAAATGTTACCATTAATAAAATAAATATATTGTTCAGTAGTTTATTTTATTATAATTGAATTAAATAAACTACCAAATTATTTAAGTAAATTCAAAATACGCGTATTAAAATCTTACAAACATTAAAAAAAAATTAATCTATACTAAATTTTAATGTAAGTTATAATCTAAAACCCATCCTAAACGTTTAATTAAATGGACGTCGCGGTAGTTATTTTGTATTTCTTACTTGCAGCAATGAAGCAAGCCACAGAGTACTTTTTTAAATATAGGAAAAGCAAGTTGTCAAACAATCAATCCGTGTTTTATAATTGCCGATCGTTTTTGTTGATAAATTCAAACATTTACAACCTAGTGCTTTTCGAATCTCCGTAATTTCTGCTCTTTGGGTTTACGTCTTTGTTTTCATCAACATAGTGCTTCTCCGTGAATTCGTTGAGACCTGCTCCTCCGATTAACGTTAATTGTTTGTACTAGTATTGTTCGAGACAGAGACTTTTAAGACACTAAAGTGCTCCTGAGTGACTTTACCATGTCTAGTAAACGTTGTTGTGTTCCTCAGTGTGCCGAAATCGAAGGTACGTAACCAGATGGTTATACAGTAGAACCTTGATAACTTAAACCTCGATAACGTAATAACCTTTAAATTCATAAAATTTTGTGTTCCCTTCCTTTCGGAATCCAAAACCTCTTTTATATAAATATATATATATATATATATATATATATATAATGTGCAAACAATAAAGGTTCCCTGTAGACCGTGGTTATTGCTTACGTGTGTTTACCAAATGGCTTCAAATGTTACGATAAACAATACACTAAGGTCTAATTGATCTGGTTTCAATGATGTTAATGCTGCTAGCCTATGCGGCTCTTACAGCTTCATAGGACTCGTAAGGTCTAAGCGCAGTAACTTATTTGTATCATTAGCTTTTAGCCTTTGTTCTGGGAGCATCTCTTTCACATTGTGAGTGAAAATGAATTCAAAACGGTTAAATATTGAAAATAAATGATATGAAATTGTGAACAGTTTGGAACAAAAAACATACTGGCGTTTTAATGTAGAATAAATTAAACTCGAATAAATGTATCTTTAAACTTGAAATAAAGTATGTATGTACTATTAACATTTAAAGGTTTCATTTGCATTTAATCTAGCTTGTCGATTTATGTATATAATTCCTAAACAAAGCTCATAAATGAACTTCTATAAGTACAAATTTAAACCAATAAAAACTCCTTAACTTAAACCCTTAGTAAGTAAAACCCTCAATAATTTAAATTATAATATTAATATCGGACACCAAATCAGTACCTGTATTAAATTGATAAGACCTGTATAGGTTATGTTTTGGTCTCCTGTGATAATGAATATTGTCTGTCTATGTAAACTGTCATACAGAAACATAATAGTATGTTATTAACATAACATTATGTTTATTGAAAAATGGTTTTAACAATTTAATTGATGTGGTTCTATGTCACAAGTTTTTCTTCTGTAAGTATAATGTTTAAACTCTTTTTTTTTGCAGATTCTCAGAGAGTTCTTCATTGGTTTCCAAATCCTGAGAAGGACATTGCTCGTTTCCGAACATGGGTTCATGCTATTGGTGGAGAGATTTTGAGTCTGAGTAACGAAAATATTTATAAACTTCGTCGAGTATGTCATGCTCATTTTGAAGAGAAATATTGTTGCCGTAACAACAGAATTTCTAACATAGCCATACCAACATTACTTATGCCAGGTAGGTGCACTATGTAGCTATATAGTTACCTGTACTATGACATTAAACAGCTATTTTAATGTGTACACAAAATTGGTTTTGACTGATGAAATCAAAACCAATTTCGACAGAAAAAATCAGTCAAAACTATTTTTTATCAATAAAAACAGTTTAGAAATATTGTACTTTCACATGCTGACTTTATTAGGTTGGTAGATTTTTATTGTAACCTGTTTAGGAACTTATTTTGTACTTACATAGGTATTTTAGATGAAGATAACTCAAATGTTTCAATAGAATAAATGCATTATAACTTAATTATGGTTTTGACTGAAACCAGTCGCAAAGTTTTTGTGACCGGAAGAGATTTGACTGTAACATAATTATATATATAATTTGTTTTATTAATAATATAACCACATTAGTAACCAGGGGTTATGTTATTGTCTTTTCAAAACATTATTAAAATTAAATTAAAAAAGGGTTACATATTATTATACATTTATACAACACACTTTTACAATTTACTATTATTTGTATATTAATGTTTTTTTTTGTGTGTTTTTTTTATTTGGCATTTTGATGTATCGAAAGTTTCATCAGAATTGGCCTGTTCCTTTTCAAGCACATGGAATTGGAATTTTGAATGGAAGACTA